GTGTTGCTATCGCCGGTATCGCCCATATTATCATGATCTTCGGTGAGTTTGTAGTGCATTCGATGTACGCCGATGTTGAAACACCCATTTTTCAGGTGCTCTGCCAAGTGTCTTGCAAGCCGGTCACGGCATGGGCCCCTTCGTTGTCAGTCTCATCGTCTTGGCCTTTGGAAGTGGTACGAATGTTTCATATCTGTCTCGATGGTTTTGGAAACTGAAGTCCGTACTCAGGCATGTTCAAGAGTAACATTGCACCGACCGTTGTGGATCAGTACACACAACAGAAGCCCTACGTTAAGACCCTCAAGTCGGGAGAGCGAGTGATCGTTGACCCTGAAACCACCGTGCAAAGGATTATGCTGACATTCTACGGCATGATCAACGTGTACGGCCAGATCTATCTTTTTTTTGCAAGACCTCTTACTAACGCCCTCTTCGTGCAGCGGAGCCTTCTTCGGATTGGCGACTGCTTACGCCGAGAAAGACATCGGCTATTGGCTCGCGTACTTGATCCCTGGCATCCTCTATTTCCTCCTCCCGATCCTCCTCGTCTTCGCATACAAGCGTACTCTCAAGAAGCCGCCCCAGGGTAGTGAATTGACCAATGTATTCAAAGTCATTGGCCACGCGATCAAGGAGAACGGATGGCACAAATTTGACCTTGATGCTGCGAAACCCTCTCGCCTTGCCTCGAAGGGTATCTCGGTGGCTTGGAATGACGGCTTCGTCGAGGATGTCCGCCGCACGTTGGTGGCTTGCCAGATATTCCTCTTCTTCCCCATCTACAACCTCAACGACGGTGGAATCGGCAACATCCAGACATCCCAGGTGAGTCTCGGCTACCCTCCTGCATGGATAGACATTGAACTTCGTCAATCTCTTTCAGGGTGCTTCCATGGTCACGAACGGTGAGTAAAAATTGATGGTAATTTTTGAGGTCGTACGCTGACGGATGTATGACTCATTAGGCGCTCCCAACGATCTTCTGAGCAACTTCAACCCGCTCACCATCATCATCGCAATTCCTATCATGTCGTACGGTGTATATCCCCTCCTCCGTCGCTACAACATCAAATTTGGCAGAATTTCCCGCATAACCTTCGGCTTTGTTCTCGCTGCGCTGTCCTCCGTCATCGGCGCAATTCTGCAGTGGCGCGTTTATTCGACCTCGCCGTGCGGCTACTACGCCACGGAGTGCGACATCGGTGACGGCGTCTCCACCGTATCTATATGGTGGCAGATCCCGCTGTACGTCCTCGGCGCGCTTTCCGAGGTGTTCGCCAACGTCACCTCGTACGAGCTTGCCTACGCCCGTGCCCCCAAGAACATGAAGGGGCTCGTCATGGCGCTGTGTCTCTTCACGACGGCCATCAGCAGCGCCATCGCTGAGGCGTGCACGCCCGCACTTGCAGACCCACACCTCATCTGGCCCTTCGTCGGCACGGCGGTGGCTGGATTCGTCTTCGCGGCCATCTTCTACTGGATGTACAGGGACCTGGACCACGACGAGTTCATTCGGGAGGAGAATGCTGAGGAGATCCCGACCGAAAAGCTCATTGAGGAGCTCAAGCCGGAGAAGCACGCTGTGTAGAGTATAATTCTGTATCAGTTTCTATCGGGATCTAGTGGGAGGACTTGGGAGTGTCTCGTTATTATGGGCGCTGTAATCATACTCTTTCTTCGTCAATTTCATTGTACAGTGTTCCGACTCTCGTCGACGTTTTTGAGACTAGCTATGGCATCTTATGAGCACTACGGTGTGTGTTTGTGTATAAATTCAAATCCTATTCGGCTGGTTCAACATGCAGCGTTAACGGCGATAGCGAACTGCTAAGCCTTGCTAATAACCACCACGACCCGATGGCGACGGCGACCACGCTGGCCACTCCACACTCGTCCAAGCTACTCAGTACTCAGTATCGTCACGTAGGGGCGCAAATCGTCGGCTAGTCCTCATGCTGAGTTATTCCCAATTGCACCTTGATTGCACCGCGCACTGCATATTACGGTTGACGCGTTGACGTTTGAGGTCACCAACAGCTACTTACCGTTTGCTGACGGACAGGCCTGTAGCGGACGTCCGTGTACTAAGTCCGCTGGCAAACGGCTTTGGGATACATACATACTTACTAACCGTGCAAACATCGGCGCAGAATTTGGCGAATGGAGCGAGTATGCTGGTATCGACACTCGAATATCCGTTGGAGCTCCGTGCTTTACTAACGCCATTTACGCATGTATACACCAGTGCACGGTGGCCGGCCGATGATGATACGGAGAAGAAGCCAACTGCAAACGGTGTGTAATTGTCCTTTATGCGGACAGCGGTTCTTTCGAATTCGCGGTACATATATAAAGGTGCGTATACTACTTTGAAAGCACTCATCGTACAAGCTACCGCAACTGACATGTCTCCCGTCAGCGACTCAGCTACGTTTATGATCCCGAGTCTTTCTCTCGGGCTGTCCCGTCAGGACGCTGTTATCTTTGCCGCAGGTGCTGGACTGGTAAGTCATGTCTAGTCATATCATCAATTGAGAAAGTCTTGACTGAAGTGACTTTGGTGTCGATCATGATTACTAGGCTTGTCACTTCGCTTTCAAGTCCATGGAGCCTCGCCGTCCACTGGCCCATGCAGTTCTGCTGCTCGTTGCACCCTTCGTACTCTCTCTCATTCTTGAAGAAAGCTTCGAGCACCGTGGACAAGCCTTTGTCCTCACATTTGGAATATACCTCGCCAGTCTCGTAACATCCCTCGTCGTTTATCGTCTCTCCCCGTTCCACCCACTCGCAAGGTACCCCGGGCCCATTCTGTGCAAGCTCTCCAAGTTGTGGCTCGCGTATAAATGTCTATCCGGCAAGCAGCATATCTACTATGAGGAATTACACAACAAGTATGGCCCGGTCGTACGGACTGGTATGTGTCCTTTCGCATACCGTCAAGCTTGAAGACGACTAATGCTTCTGACACGGCCAGGTCCCAATGAGCTCTCGTTCTGTGACGCGAGTGTAATTGCTCCGCTGATGGGCCCCAACGGTCTGCCCAAGGGTCCCAGTAATTACTCTTCGCCTCTTTCATCCGTCCAGTGGGCTCACATAATGATCTCATCCAGTCTGGGAAGGGCGTAGGCTCTCAAAGCAGAAGACCAAAACTTTGATCGCATTGACCGACGCAAAGGACCATGCGCGTCGCCGGAAACCATGGCTCAGAGGCCTGAACTCGACTGCACTGAAGGACTATGAGATCATCATCGAGCGCCGCACGTCGCAGTTGGTGTCGGCTCTAGCTGCGCAGAAGGGAGCTGTTGACATGACACAGTGGATCAGTTTCTTTGCGTACGTGCTCCGTCGAGGTTATGCGCTTTTCTTCACAGGGACTCATCCCTTGATACTTTTAGATATGACTTCATGAGCGACATGGCGTGAGTACTCGGCACGATTTCAACAATGCTTCTTGATGCTGACCGTTTTCAACAGTTTCGGCGGGGGCTCTGAGATGATGAGCTCAGGTGATACCGGTGGTCTATGGCACATGCTCGAAAATGGACTTGCGTATGGTTTCTTTCAGTCCAGCTCAGCGACGCACTTCCCTGACCTCTCATGAATTTAGGGATGTGCTTCCCCTCGGCCACGTTCCTTGGGTAACTACGTACTACAGGATGCTTCCCGGTTTGGGGAAAAACCGCAAACGATTCCAAGCATTTGCGGTTGCGCGGGCACAGATCCGGAAAGCGGAAGGGTCGATGCAGAAAGATCTCTTCCACTATTTGGTAAGTACTTTTCTCCGACTACAGCGTGGCGTACAGCTTGACCCACCTTGCACCGGCAGTTTAACGAAGACGGGGCCGAAGCAACACCGCCGCCAATGCACGAGGGAGTGTCTGATGGAGCTCTAGCTATCGTGGCCGGTATGCTCTAGCGTCCGCGCTTCCAATAGGTACTAACAATCTGTTCGAGAACAGGAAGCGATACTACGGCTACTGCTATCGCTACGGTCATCTGGTATCTGCTGCAGAACCGTGCGGCGTACACTCGCCTGCAGGCCGAGATTGACGCGAACTTCCCACCTGGCGAGGAGCCTACAAACACGACGCGCCAGGCAGGCATGTCCTACCTCAACGCGGTGATGTACGCTGTGCCAAGATTCAATACGGCGACTATATTAATCTTTTGGATTCTCCAGAAATGAGGCTCTTCGGCTATTTCCCCCAGTCCTCGGCGGAAGCCAGCGCGCGGTGCCACAAGGAGCAGGCGCGAAGGCAATCGGGCCACAGTAAGCCACTTCCCACTTTAGAAGCGAAAGGCTATTGACCTCAACGACACGACAGCGTGCTTCCGGAAGGCACCGTTGCATTTGTTCATTTCTACTCTATACACCGACGCCCCGAGTACTTCTCGCCGATGCCGGATGCCTTCATCCCGGAGAGGTGGTTGCCCGCAGACCAGCCCGGCTCGCTCCACTCGCCCGACTACAAGGGAGATGTGCGCCACGACACCTCGGCGTTCGTCCCATTCTCATTTGGCCCGGCGATTTGTGCCGGGAAGACACTGGCCTACCAGGAGATGCGGCTCGTACTATGCTGGCTCCTCCAGCAGTTTGACATGCGCTTCGCGGACGGATTCGTGCCGGAGAAATGGGAGGAGGACTTGCGCGACTGTTTTCTCACGATAAAGGGTCCTCTCCTCGTCTCTTTGACACCGCGCAATGCCTCGTAATATTTTGCTACTACTTACTACCTTGCTGTCGACGCGTTCCTCTTGTCGACTTGGTGTATGGGCGAGTGAACACAATACGTCCATACATAGTAAATCAATACACTTTGAATATGATTTAGCTTGTTCCCTTTACTCTCCGACCTACACCAAGGCTAAAAAAGATATTAAGTATTATTTTAGATGATTTCCTTCCAAATTATGCATCATGCCCTCCACCCTCCCCTCCTTTCAACGTTCGACGGTAAAAAGGCATTAAAACCCATATTAATGCTGGACAAAATAAATACACCCAACGGGAATTGAACCCGTGCCGCTTGCTTTATGGACAAATCCATGGAAGGCAAGCATGATAACCACTTCACCATAGGTGTCTTGAAGTCCAGTATGCAAAGTGCAACTTTAACCGTCAAAAACGCACGTGTGATCCAACGCGACTTGCACCTGATTTCCGACATTCATATCCCGGTCCGAGCTTTCGTCTCCAGCTCGTCCGAGTCACACAACTCGCGAACATACGGATTTCCTACAGGAATATTACCATCTATCTGGAACGGACTAACGTCGACGCGCCCTACTGTACTCTACAACGTCAAGAAGAGTCCACTTCTCACCGTTTTTCTTTGTCAAGGACGTGGTTTTGCACGCCGAGACTCGCGGTGCAACGCTCTCAACAAAGTAATTCTGTATCGGGCTCTCAGGAGCTCTCAGGGTAGACCCCAGCAGATATAAAACCCACTGTCCCTTTTCAATCCCCAGAAACCACCGTCCTCACAATGGCCGACACTGATAACCCACTTGACGGAGTGCAAGCCCTTGCATTCGATGTCTTTGGCACGATCGTGAACTACCGCGAGGGTGTTGCCTTGGAACTCCGACGCATCGCGCCAGACCATATTTCGGAGGAGGATGCGTATGCTTTCGCCGACGAATGGCGGCAAGGTTACTATCGAGTGGTTGCGCACATCGCTGGTGGCGGCGAAGGGCCCCTCGTAGTCGATGTTCTGCATAGGCAGGTAATTGTGCCAGGACACTCTTAGAGACTCGAAATTGACGCAGAAGGCACGTAGCTTCTAGACGAGATGCTTGCTAGCCCACGTTGGTCCCATTTGAAGCCGTTGTGGGACGAAGCTGCACTCCAGGACCTAAATTTAATTTGGCACCGTCTCCCAGGCAAGCTCAAGCTAGCGTACCTCAAGCAATGTCAAGAGGAAGACAGCTGACTGGACTGCGTTGTATAGGATGGCCAGATGTATCCGAGGGGATCCGCCTGCTGAACAAACACTTCATCACTGCCGTACTTTCGAACGGAAACGTTCGATTGTTAGCGGACATGGTCTGCGCTCACTATGCTCAGAGATAGCAACAAAACTCACTGATTTTTCCAGGCTAAAAACGCAGATCTCGACTGGGATGTCATATTCTCCGGAGAGATCTTCGGGATTTATAAGCCGTACGCTACCCACCCTGTCGCGAATGCAGGGATGTTATTGACAGTCCGGTCGACAGACACCCGAAAACGTATCAAGGCGCCGCATCGTATCTCTCCCTCCAGCCACACCAGGTCGCCATGGTCGCGGCGCACATTGGCGACCTCCGCGGTGCTATGCGTGCGGGACTGAAGTCGATCTACATCCCCCGCCCTACCGAGGATAAACCCGAGGTGACGGCCCTAGTAAAGACGAAGAAGGAGGGTGGGGAGGTGGACGTTATGATACCTAGCGGCTCGCTCGTGGAGCTGGCCAAACTAGTAGAGCAATGGCAAGGAAAGCATTGGCCCAAAGGCCACTGAATGCTTACTGAATGCTGATGGACGTGATGGTCAACGACGAATATTATTTTTGTAATTGTAACATGGTAAATGCAACGAAGGGGCAGTTAGTGAAGTCCGTAAAGAAGGGCAAGCCGTCAGCGCGAGTAGTAAGACGCAAGTCCGTGATAGATGATCTGTATATACTGTGGTAGTCCATCCAATCCTAAATCCAGATAGTGTTTTGGAATCGAGCTATGCCCGGATTACTGCGCCGCCTTGATTATGTCGGCAGCTTTCTCGGCGATACCATAGAGCGTGCTCGAGAGATGGGCAGACATCTGGAGCGGTAGAACGGAAGCGTCGACGACGCGAACGTTTGCAGTGTCGTAAACTTTCAATTGTGCGTCGACGACGCCGCCCAGGCTCCGTTTCATCATCGCAGCCTGGACACCATAACCGTTAGTATGATGGGAAAAGTGCAAAGACATGATCACTGACCGTTCCAATGGGATGCGCAACGGACGAGAAGCCAGCGTCGGGGTCAAGGATCCACGCTTTCCAGTCAGCATCGGATCCGCCATCGCTGTTATTGGGGACAACGTCCAGCCCGGGCTGTGTCTCGCCAGTCGAAAGCGAGCTACGAAGAAGCCCGGTAAGACGATGGAAAATCGGAGATGCGAAGACATCGCTTACCTCAGGGGCGGGCTACTGAGGATCTTCCTCGACAGGCGGGCGCCTGCGATTTGAACGGAGAGATCGTAGTCTACGCCGAAGTAGTTGACCTGGATAGACGGCTTGGTTCTCGGGTCCGTGCTCTACATATTCCGGAGTTGTAAATAATGGAACATCAAGGGTCCCAAGACAGCTTACCGTAATCTGAACACTTCCTCTGCTGAAGGGAAGAAGTTGCCACATATCGATACCAAGCGCACTGAAGTGGTCATTAGCCAGGTGAGCGCAAGATAAACGTCTCTCAACTCACTCGGGGTAACCAGTGTCGTAAAAGAGCTCGACAACGGGGGCTAAGAGCAGAGGTCAGCTTTGACGCCCCACGGAATATGTGTAGATGATCCTTACCGTTCTTGTTGATGATCAAGTCCGCCTGGGTCTGGTAGATCTCCTCGAGCGCTGATGCAGAAAGCGCCGAGCCAGCCTGAGAGGAAGCCCACGAGGAGAGCGAGGACTGGATCTTTTGTGCGGTGGCATTCGCCTCACTCCCGAACAGCTGGTACAAATTGGGGTAGGCGATCGCGTCCGATGGTCCATCGCCGCCTTTGTCGAAGCCGTTTCCACCGGCTCCAAGAGAGTTCATGGTCTACGAGAAATATGAATAACAAGACACAGCCTCTGCGGATATAAACCCACCTGCTCCTGAAGGTTCTTTCCTACGGTTGTCAAATTCACGCGGGTCGTGATACCGAGCTTGTTGAGCAGTGCAGGGTCACCGATACCAGACAGCTGCAAGAGAGCCGGCGTCTATAGCTCGAAAGATGAGAAACGGTAAGTGCTGCTTTGGTTTGGAAAATACCTGGATTGCTCCTGCTGCAATGATGACCTCCTTGCGAGCTTCCGCGGTGTAGGTCGATCCTGGGGTATCCGCGGGACTAAATTGGATGCCGCTAGCTGTGAGAGTTCCAGTACCATTGGACCACGTCAACTTGTTGACCTGAATGCACTGTCAAAACGCATCCGACAACACCGGCATGAAAGGCACTGACCATATGGCCAACCAGCGTCAACCAGTTTTCAGCCGTGCTTTCCTTTGGTGTCAGATAGGCCTCGGCGGAAGAGGAGCGATGGTCCGAATCGTGCCAATTCAGACTCTGCAGATACTTAACGGGGGTTCGATAAAAGTAAGGGGCGAAACATACCAAGGGCGTTATCGAGACGCAATTGGGAGTTCCACCGTTAAGGTCCTTGTAGTGTTTGATACCAGTCAAGTTCACAATCGTGTCCACGAAATCAGGCTGCTCCGGGCCGCCGTACATTGCGTCAGGATATGTGACTTGTACGGGCCCATCGGTTCCATGGTACGATGCGATCGACTGCGCGCCTTTGGCAGCCTGTCCGTCGTTGGGAGCCGAGAATCCTTCAGACTAGAGAAATATCCGATCACTAAGCGGGGTCGGCACATGTACAGAAAATGCACGGACCTTTTTCATGTACGTGAAGAGGCCATTCCAATCCCACCCGGCGTCGGCATCCGATGACTCCAATAGGGACGTCAACGCATCGTACTGTGCATTGAGACCGCGCGTCCAGTGTCCTCCGTTAATGGAAGAAGACCCTCCTAACGTCTTACCGCTACAGAAGTGGGTATCAACATAATATTTCGGCAAGCATGGGTGGAAATGCTTACCCGTGGATGATTTTTCCCTGCTCTGCACTCCAAGCCCAGTCAAGCGATGTCCCGAATGCTGCGCTGTACTGGTAAATGTCGTATACTCTCTCGTCGGTCCTGTCGTCGTTCCCGGCTTCTACGAGTAGTACAGTAACATTAGAGTTCTCCGAGAGCCGCGACGCGACGGTCGTTCCGGCAAGTCCTCCGCCTACGACAATATAGTCGAATGTCTGGGACGCGGCCGCAGAGGTGGTCGACGTGACACCATACGTAGTAGCACGTTTCGATGGGCCTGCGACGGTTTGCGCGGCGAGGCCAAGAGCCACCAAGGGGATGGCAGAGAACATGGGAGGATCTAGTAGGATATTGATGGAGGGAAAATCGTTATAAACCCGCTCCAGCGATCCCGGCAGGAACGTGAAAATTGCTAATATGGACAGCTTGCAGAGCTTTTTGGCAGGTTTCAAGGCTAGTTGGGGCCGGCGTTGGCAAACGCACGATATGATATACGAATATCATTGCGGCCATGTGCGTCCGGATGATGGCCGACAGGGTGTCAGCAGCACTGCCCCCGCATCCCCGCAAAGTACTGGATTCCTCCATAATTATAATGACGCACGGGCGGTGCCTTGGCATATGTAGGCCCGAGGGAATAAAACTCGAGGATTCAAGGTGCAGTTGACGTGCAGCGTCGAGTTTGGTGTCATGTCAGGTGTTCAACGTTCACTGATGCGTACGGCGAAAACTGGCCTACCTGCACAAAGCATGCGTGATTTTGCCGAGATGATGAGTTACACATGTGCACTTGTCTGCGCTTGTACCGTTAGGAGGGTCAACGATTCTCTCGAACGGAAAAGCACAGGCCCATTCTTGAAGATTGAAGATCGTTCTGTGGTAAGTAGCATGCTCGTTGTGGAAGCTAAGTTTCTGTGTTTGGGGCTAATTTGGGGTAATGGAATAAGAGGCTATGCACTTACGTAACACTACGAACAGGCCCCTATTCATTTCGAGTCCAAGTAGGTTCAATTTTGCCCTAGTTCCAACACCGTTTGACGGCCTGCTAATCGCGCACACTAGATGATCTCTCTCTCTCGGAAAAAGCGTCTACAGAGGCGAGCATCCACTGCCATAGAAAGAAGTAAGTGGTGCAGCAAGACCACTGCACTCGCTGTATGCACGATATAACGCGATCACGCCTGACTCATCTAGAACATGGGGATTTCCCATGAGTGCGCTCGAACACATGTCTTGATCTCACGACTGCAAAACTACAGCGCCAT